ATGTACCTCTGTTATTGTATATTTGTTACAGGCGAGCTATTTCCAGTTCGAGCATAGATTGTGTTTGTGCAATGTTAAACCATGCTTGTATCTTGCTGGAATCAGACTTCTGCGATGTTCTTTACAATAAATTCCGCACTGGGTTTCCCTCAGGCTCCCTCGACATGACACAGGCATATAATTTATTACAACAGGGCAAGTTACCAACCGCATCAACAGCTGATTCTAACGCAGTCAAAGCGGCTTTCTTGGTATGTAGAACATTACTTGATGTGTAATGTGAAATTGTGAATTTGAGATGAAATGAGGGACCTGGTGATGAAATAATTATTCACAAATTGATGAAATCATAAAATTTTGTAACATTGAAAATTTCCCAATTCAAATACTGTATTTGTTCTATTAGAAGTGCATCCCCAAAAGAAGTGCATATAAACCCAATCACATTTGTTGCTGAATCATTAAAATATGACTTATTTCAACCGTATAAATACCTCTGTAATTTACATAAGTGTATGTGCTACTTTTAGAGATAATAAATAACATATTTGCTCTATTGAAAGTGTTTGCACCTATGTACATTATATGTGTGTGTGTGTTTGTATCGGAAAAATAAATCATAATTTAATGATTCAGTGTACAACACTGGGAATTTATTTTTTTATATGAACTTCTTGCGGAAATTCGCTTTTAATAGGATGCCATCGAATTCACAAAATGTCAAATATCGTAAATTTATTGTTGTGACAATGTGTTTATATCTTATGTGTCTAGACAACTGTTAACAACGCTGAAGTGAGTGGTGAGTACGTGATAACGCTAAAAAAAAGCTTACAAGATCAGTGTACCAGTCTCTACGGATACACCAGTGAACAAGGCAAGGCCAAATTAGAAAGTTGTTTGTCTGATCTTGGTAATGTGTCAAATAAATTTAAAGATGTTTTGCAGGTAAGTCTGGTTACCATAGTTACTTTTAAACTCGCTATCACTAATTCAAAAATGTTTCTAGACAAGGTTGTATTAAAATAATAAATTTAAGTCATTCGTTTAAATTCTGCAATGTGCAACCAAGGTCTACAATATAGATTCCGTCCGGTACCAGCAAGTTCGAGTTGCAAACTGATGGTTCAAATCCCAAATCCCAAATCCTAAATCCCAAATCCCAAATCCCAACCCCAATACTTCTGAGATATGATGTTTAAGCATGTCCAGTTACCATTTGGTAGACCTAAACAATGTACAGCATTTATTATGGAGAACTGAGCATATACCTAATGAATACATAAAATGTATCATCATGGAATTTGCATGCCCTTGGTTATCAACCTTTGCTTACTAGTATGTACATTTCATTCCAGTATGGTCTCAATCAGCTGAATGCGAGTGCAATCAAACCACGCATCAAACCAATGGTGGATGCATTCCTGTCGGCCAATCACAATATAACAGAAGAAGAGTTTTCAAACTACGAAGCCAATGATCCATTTGTACAGCACTTCATTATGAGTTTGGAACAGCTGCTTCACACATTCAAGGTATGATCACCACTTTGTAATACTTTTAGTACCCCGCAATGTACAATGTAACATTTACTATCAAGTTCATGAACTTTTTCACCACCAGTTCCTTCTTTTCGTCACATTTATAGTCTGCACTTTCCTTCTAAAAATTGGTACAAAATAGCCAAATATTTTTAGTATAAACTGAAAATTGACCCAAATTTTGTCTGTTGGCTCGAAAATATTGAAGAATGTATTGAAAAAAAAAGAGCATAAATATTTGGGCGTGAAAACGGACGGTGGTGAAAAAGTTAAAACCCAGTGAATATATACATATGCTAAAAATAGTGAAATTAAATACCAACTTGAGTGATATCATGCATTTTTAGTGTATTTTCAGTATTAGCTGAAGGCTGCTATGTAAACACTGTAACAATTTATAGTAATCCTGAATTTTAATTGTTGTGGTTTTGTTTTTCTCTAGAGTTCCTTGACAACCAGTAACTATGATGCATTAGTGAGTTTGCTGACCAATGAAGTGGTCAGTCAGTTAGAAAAAGCTGTCATGAAATCAGTCTTCAATAGGGTAGGTTCACAAACTATAATGTGTAGCATTCAAATTCATTTGAAGTTCAATGATTCAAACTTCCATGAGTAAATTCTTCTAGATACCATTTTAAACAGTTTTCATAAATTTTGCAAGTCAGTGTAAAACATTGTAGCAGTGACAATTTCCTCAGGGTTCTACAATACAGTGTCAGAGACTTTTGCACAATATAGTCTTCACAATCGCCATAAAATCATGAAATTACGAAAATTCTTAGTAGTGAAAATTAAGCAGTTTACAGTATTTGGTAAAAAATTTTTTTTTTCAGTTATTTTTATCATTTTTGATTCGCCAAAACGTTTTTGTTATAGATGTTTTATAAATTTCAAATGACATTTGAAAAATACTTTAATTAAACACCTTTGCAGATACATTGCAGTAAATTGGCCAATGATTAGGCATTAGGCAATTGCTATTACCAAATTTCTTTTATAGCCAATGAAGGTGTCTTCTTTGGATTTGAATGAAGCACGAGTGTTTTCAGAATAAATAATGGTTGGCATAAAGGAAAACAAATGACTTAGCTGGTCCATTAATATATGTATTAAATTTGTATTTATATCAAAAATATATTTATTTATCAGGACTGTGATAGGACAAGATTTCTGTAGTTTTATGCTCTATTTTTAGCTTGGTGGTCTTCAGTTTGATAAAGAACTTCGTGCCTTGGTGGGATATTTAACATCGGTAACACAATGGACTATAAGAGATAAATTCGCCAGATTAACACAGATGGCTACAATACTCAACTTAGAAAGGGTATGTGTGATTTATGTTGTTTAATTTAAATGTTAATGCAAAGTGCTGTAAATTAACATACACTATACTATTTCAGGCTCCATTAGTGTCAAATATTTTATAATAGTTTATGCTACTGTATTTTATCAATCTTTGTTTTTATGACCCCCTACAGATATTTTGCACTTTCATAAAATCTCTGTAAAACCTATGTAAGCTGGATTCCTGCCTAACCTGAACTGTAAATTGGAAACATGACCAAACTTGTCCTGTACGTGGTTTTACAAAAGACTAGTGTAAACAAAACACCTCTATTGATTGTTTATCTTGCTTCATTTTGTACATTTTTTGGCAGGTTACTGAAATCCTAGATTATTGGGGACCAAACTCAGGACCTCTGACCTGGAGGTTGACCCCAGCAGAGGTCAGACAGGTTCTTGCACTAAGGTAAGTTGATGCCGTACAAATAACCTTTGAACTCCAGGTTTAACCAAGGTTACTGTTGTGAATATTTGACCTTTGACCTGAAAGTTGACGTCCAGCTGAAGTCTGGTGGATTCATACCTGTTTAGCATTGAGTCAAACTGGTGTAGTATAATTAGAGTTTGGTGAAGTTGTAGAGGTATTATGATATCAAATGAATATGTTCCTATATTGCATTCCTGTTTCTAATGTAGTTTTATTTATGTATATGGATTTGTAAGATCGACAGTGCTCTATAGGGATGATTAGTACCAATGTAACAATGTCTGCATTTTTCATTTTTCTCAAAGGATTGACTTTCGAAGTGAAGATATCAAGAGACTTAAACTTTAACGTTGACTACTGGAAGCAAGAAATTCTGATGGACTCCAGCAGTGACTTGTGGTAGCATAGAATTCTGATGGACATTCACTTCTGTGTTTTGCTAAGCTGGCCATTCACTGTTGATGTTCAATATGGAGGACCTTATACCAGTACATAGGGGCACCTAAGTACAGACTTTGTCATCAGATAGACACATATTAGTCACAATATCTCACTTACCGGTAGTTGCTGTAAGAGGCTTTGAGACTTTATTATGAGAGAGTTATGGGGCCCAATAGCTCTCCAAGTAGTTATCAGAACAGATATTAGGCCACAATATTTCCCCTAAGTTGCTGTAAGTTTTGAGACTTTATTGTGGAAAAGAAGTAGGCCTTAATGTCATGAACTAAGAGCAGAATAGACCATTTTCCGTTCACTGCGAGAATCAAGCGTTATGCGTGAAATCGAATGTAAAAACAGGACAAACAAAGGTCATATTG